AAAGTCAAAATTGTCATATTATTTCCACTGACGAAGTTGTTGGATCGTACGCAAACTCTCGATGAAAATCACTTTCCGCCATGATGCAATTGCAGATTTGACCTACAGCAGCGTCCTTTGACCTAATGGGTCAAGTTGGTTATTAACTAATCAGAATGCTGTGTTGTACTGACGCAATTCTTCGGAAATTCCCGAAGACTTTCCGGTAACGCAATGCGGAAGTGAATAATCGATGTCGAAGTACGATCTGTTGGAATTGATTTCAGCGAATAAACGACATGGTTTTTCCAAAAAACTAGTAACTAGCCATTTTTGAGAGGTAAACTGAATATGGCATGAAATATTTATCGCATTTTACTTGTATTAACAGGTCATTGTCGAAGCGTAGTTTACACATGGTTACCGTGTTCTTCGCATTCACAACATGTTCACAGCGATCGATATCCACGCTGTATCATATAAAAACGATTACCATGATTCATTACGCAAGACCAAGTTTTAAATTAGTTGCATTTTGAAGGGGTGGGCGCTTTGCCAAATGTGACCCCAAATATAAAAATTGCGCAAAAGTGGGGGTTGGGCGCTTGCCCGGGCATCGGTGCTAACGGGGTCGAGTACGGTATATACATTAGACATTATGAGATCTTGACTTGAATAACTTTGTTTTTCAGATACGATTCAAAATGGCCGACTGGCGGCCATTTTGTTATAATGAATGTGGTTCTTAGTGCCATATCTCTGACTTGCTTTCACTAATTATGTTCAAATTTGTAATATTCATTATACATCATGTCATAGATAGGCAGATATATTGGTTTGACGATCCTATTCAAAATGGCCAAATGGTGGCCTTTTTTGTGCTAAACAATCATCAAATATCAAGCATTTCTGCCATTTATGGATGGATTTCGTTCAAACTTGGTACATAGATACATTAGACATTACTGGTTCCTGATCCACATCATTTTATTTTTCAGATCGGATTCAAAATGGCTGACTGGCAGCCATTTTGTTTTAATGATTGGGCTTCTAGAGCCATACATGTATCTCTGACATGCTTTGACTGATTATGTTCAAATTTTATATATTCTTTATACATCATGTTATAGATATATACATGTATTCAAAATGGCTGATTTTGTTTTAAATTAATTAATGCTGTTCCAGAGCAATATCTCTCAATATGGACAAGTACTTGTTTGATGATCAGATACAAATGTCAATCATTTTAATATTAAGCAATCATCATAATCATATTCCTGTCATGGTTATATTCTAGCTATATTACAATAAACAAAACTATATATCTTAAATTCGATAACTAACGAGAACTGTGCGATGCATGTATGTATATGTTTATTTCATCAGAAAAAAAAATGAAAATACAAGTAATTAAATAGATAAAATAAAAAATCTGATGAGGACTGTGAAAATAGTTCTGCTGAACTAGTCTAGTCCACAGCCCTGCCATGCTAGTAAACTTATATTAGGAAACAAAATAGATGAAAAATACAATTAATCAATAACTATTTATCAAAAAAAAAATAATAAATAACCAAGCAACGAGTTGATATAATAATTAATTAATCTGTTATGAAACAATTAAATGAATCAAACTGCTAATCAAACAAAAATAAGAAATATAAATAATGAATTGGTAGGGAAAAAAACAATAAACAAAATCTTCCAAAGAAGTAACAAATATGCCCTGGCTAGCAAATATAACACAAAGAAAATAAAGTAACTAAAATACTAATAATAGTCAAGAAA